TTAAAAAGTACTCATAGTCCATTACTAAGGATAATCCAATACATTGTGAAAATTACTATTATACTGATAGGCACACTGCATTATTTCAAGATGCTTATGTGTCTTATGTAGCTGATGCTACAATGAAGTTTCCATTATGTAGACGGAGCAAAAAAAGTGGACTTGGGCTTGGGAACTTTAGCACAGGAGACCTGACATCAGAAGAAGATGCAGGACATTGGTCATTCAAGGAGACTAAGGTTTACTGTGACTTAAATCAGACTGAGAGAATGACGAAGTAATATCTATAAGTGAGATAATGAATTATCAACCATGTATTTTACAGTTATGGCTAAGGTTTGTGGTGTGGGTTAAGTCAGTGTTCAATCCCAACATGAAGAAGTCATGCCCATAAGATACTAACAAAAATGGAACACACTGAATGTGTACCAAAGTTATCACACAGGTTTATATTACACCTGACATTAGCAATAGAAGAGTTAGGGGATTCCGAGTTTCTTTGGCTAAAGTGACTTTCTATGTTGTCCAAGAGATTTAAGTTTAATTCCAAGGGAATAATTGTCTCCTGAATGTTTAATTTTCTGGAGTATGTTAACATGGAGAGAAATCTTCATAAGCCAAGCTTGGCATTTTGAATGTGCTCACTTAGAACTTTCCTGAAGAAATAAATGATCTAAATAGCACTTAATTCTAAAATTCTAAGATTCCTTGTATATTTTTATTTTGCAAAGTTTCTCCTCTCCTTTAGGAGTTGGTACAATTCCTTACTTTTTGTAGCATAGCTCTGATTTGAAGCACTGTTCTGACATGTATTTGCCATATGTAATTATTTATTTTTATGACTCTCTGTGCCTCATTCTTTAACAGAAGGAGAAAACTGTACCCACTTAAAGGGGCTGTTAAAATCTTAGACACATAGAAATAACATTTAACATAGTTTATTTTATTTTTTTAAGTTTATTTACTTAATTTTTTTTTTTACATTCTATGATGTTGTTGTGGAGCAACTGGATGGAAGGTGGAGGGAAAAGGGGAAGGAAATAGGGTGGGAGAAGAAGGAAGAAGAGGCAGGGTTGAGGCCTATGGTACCCCTCTCATTCCTGCAGGGGAGACCAGGGGGATTCCAGTGGTGGCTTGGTCATTGCTGGGCTGAGTGCAGGTGTCAGGGGGATGTGGCTGAAACCCTTGCCCCCAACAACCCCTACTAGGTTGAGCCCATGATACTTCCTATGGTGGCTTGGTGTTGCTGGGCTGGATGGGGATGTCGGGGGGCATGACTGAGGCCCCCAGCCCTATCCGCTCCCTGGCTTGGTAGTCCAGGGGACTTACAGTCCTTCTAGGTTTTGTAGGTGTTCTTTGGTGATGAGAGAACTTTGCTAGTTAATATCAAACTTTGTCCCTGGTCTGTGGGTATTTTCTTTTTTCTTTCAGTTCCATGTTGGATTATTTGCTGTTCCTACCACTTAAATTCTGCACTGCAACTAATGGTTGTCCTTTGCTTACTTCAAAAATGGGGGAACTTCCTGTGAGAACCTCTACTTGAGCTCTGTGGTTGAGCTAAATTGCTTCTTTGCTGCTGATTCCCTGAGGAAGGCTTTCTGTGCAGCTCAGGGCTTAATAGTTGGCTGTATAGGTACTTCTGGGTCTTGTGAGATCCGGTACACCTGGGTTGTGTAGAAACTCTGGACTGGGCCTGAATCTTTTCAGCAAACTGCACCCCCTGCAGTTCTATATTCCTGACCAGTCTCCACTGAGTGGTCCTGCACTGATTGGGGGGCAGATCAGCTGTCCTTGCTGTGGCCCAGCGTTCTCCCAGTGAGCCCATCTTCCCCACTGCTGGTGCTCCAAACACTTCCCATGGGAAAAGCTATATGCCAGTCCCTTGAGATGACTCACTGGCCTCTGAGAGGCTCCTTTATTTCAGTGGCTCCTTGCTCCTATGTGGGTCCATGGGAACCCTATTAGTAGTCTTGCTGGCCTGGGGGCCCCAAGACCCTATTCTCCACTGCAGCCTCCAAACAACTTCATCCAAAGGGCACATCTGCGACTTTTTTTGCCAGCTCCTGCTCTGTGCACTCACCAGCTCCAGCCTGTAAGTGGCTGGGACTTGAAATGGTTGGAACAGTTCCTTCTTTCTCTCATTGTGGCTTCTCCTTCCTTTCATGCACTCCGTAGGTCTCTCCTCCTCTTCCCCTCTAGGGACCCCAACTTGGCTGTGGTTGCTTTTTAATAGTTGTAAATTGGTTGATTTGTGGGAGAGAGTGATGCTGGAGACTTTCTATTCTGCACTCTTGACCGGAAGCCCACATTTAACATAGTTTAAAACATAATATTCATATGAAGAAAGTGAATATTGATTTTATAGCATTATTTTGTTTTGTATAGTAAATTGAAACAATAAAATTATCTCTTTTATGCAAAGCATAAAAAGGAAGCAATTGTTATTTGTTTCTTTCTATTTATTTCCTCATGATCCACCACACACTTTTACAACTCTGTGATATTTGCAATCACAATTCTCTTTGCCCAGAATATTCATTTAATTATACTTGTAATATTTACCAGGAGTCCTTCTCAGACAATGTAGATGTTTTGAGCAACCCTATCTTTTACACTGATGTAGCACTTGTATATGTTTCTACAAAAAATTATTCCATATATAAATGTCTATCTATTTAACCACTTATTTAACTATTTAACCATTGCCTGAAATCCTACAGGGACGACTAGCACTTGCTTGCAACCTAGATGCTTTAAAAAATGTTTTAAAAATAATGTCTGACAGATTTTCACAACTATATAAGAATCAGAAAGAACTTATGTCTGGAAGATTCTTATTCTTTATAGGAAACTGTTAATATCCACATATAGACATTTAGTTAGGAAAAAACTAGTGATTATGTATAATCACTTATTTTATTATTTACAAGATACTATATTAGAATATTTGATATGTACTACTTGTTACGGCTTTCCTATTTTTTTTGGTGCATAGACTTAAACTGAGAAATAAACCGCAGTGTTTCCTGGATGTAAAATGAGAAATACATGAAACAGTTTAGCATTTCCTAGAAACTGAGGTGTGGTTGTAGATATAACTTCTTTCAACCAGGCCTGGGAGAATTGAAGATATGGAGTGATACACATGTCAAACTAAGTATGAGTAATTCACGATTTATGACACAGTTTGCAGCCAGAGAAAGCTACTGAAAAGAGTTTTGTTACTGCTTGGAAACTGTCATAATCTTATTCCCACTAATCTTTTCAATCAGAAAATTATGTGATTCTTATAATGTAGAAGGTAATCATGAAAGACAATAATATTAAAAGCTAAGACGACAGCCAAAAGAGACAAAATTTATCATATGCTTGTGATTTTATGCTAAAATGAACCTGTCTGTAGCAATTATTGAGAAACTGATCATAATTCTGCTAGGAGAAAAGGCAGGAAAAACTGACATCCTTTTCATCGATAACTTTACCTGGCCTACAGACTGTTTAGATTCAAATTGTTGCATTTCTCAAATTCAATTTTAATTATATGGGTTTTTTAAATTACCACTAGTATTTCAGAAAATTTAGGGCCAGAATCATCCTTTTTTATCACTATATCTCTAATGCCTGTCATAAAATAATTAAGTATAATGTGAATGAATTAATTATACATTACAAAGTTATTTAATAATTCTAGCACTTAACTTGAACTTCTATTAATAAATTTTTAAAAATGAAGTCTGGGATTGACTTTTAAGAAGTCGACTTAAGCCCATATCTGAAAGCTATTATCTCTATAACACTGAACTCTTAGCCTGAATTTCACTCTGATCAGTCACTTATATATTAGAAATAATAATAGTCACTTTCTAAATGTTTTGTAAAATAAATATTGCATATGACTTACCTAATACAAAGTATAATGTATAGAACGCTATTATAGCAGATGTTATTTCTCTTCCCTACTTGCAAAAACCCTAAATTCATTTTTTAAATTTAATTGATTATGCATATTTATGGGGTACACAGCTAGACCCTCAGACTAAACCTCAGATGCCCAGAGTTGACCTCTGACTGGTATATCATAATTTGATGCACTTATCTTGATATTTTACATTTTCTACTCTCTGTTTTTTCTTTTTGAAATTTGTAGTTATTTAATCTACCTAAAGAAAAACACATGACGAAAGATAATAATAATTGTAGGTACCTTATGAAGTTGTTGGCAGATTTACAAGGCTGGCCATGTAGCGCTGGGAGCGCCGAGGCCCAGGGTTCGGATCCTATGTGGGGATGGCCACTGGCTGAGTGTGGTGCGGACCATGGACCGCACCGTGCCGAGGGTTGCGATCCCCTTACAGGTAAAAAAAAAAAAGATTTACATGAGTCAATACATAGCAAAAAACTAGAATAGGTCTATAATATAGTAATTGCTGAGAAAACTTATTTCAGCTCTGCTCTCTTCTTCTTACTACATTTTCTCATTATTATAAATATTTTAATAGTATAAGGAATTTGAATACATATGATTTTCTAATATCTGCAAATATTTGATAGAATATTTATATTTGATTCCCAATCCCCTGCTGAATATGGTTATTTCACAGAAATGCTAACTAGAATTGAATTTTCTAATATCCATCTCTATTACCTGGTAAAAATGAAAACTTCCAAAGTCCAAATTTCTTGACACTCTTTTCATCAAACCAAAAGCCCTCTGTCTCTTCCTAAGTAAACCACTACTATTCAAAATGATAATCATTAACTTACATTTTTTATTTAATCCAAATACACTTAAAAATATTTGAATTTTCAGAAAATTCTAAAGAAATACTCAGTTTTATCGAATTTAATGAGTGCAATGTTGGGGGAATTAAGGCGGAAATGGATTTTATAAATATGTATGTGTGTATATATAATTGTACTTAAAAAAAAGAGATACTGATGGGGTATGCCTCGTAGAAAACATCTAAAAGAACTTCATCATTTTAAAATCATCAATACTTTTATTTACCAAAGAAATACATAACATGTTGGATGGTGTCCTCAAAGGCTTGCTTCACTTGCTGGTTCCTCAGGGTGTATATAACTGGATTCATTATGGGAGCGACAGAAGTATTGAGAATAGCTACTCCTTTGCTCAATGATGCTCTTTCTTTTGCAGAGGGATTAGCATACATGAGTATGCAGCTTCCATAAGAGAAGGAAAAGACGATCATATGAGAGGAGCATGTAGAAAATGCCTTTTTTCTCTGACTGGCAGATGAGAATTTCAAAATTGTCCTAATGATGAACAGGTAGGACAGAATGATTAATGCCAGAGTGAAAAGCAGAATCATTATGGCAGAGTATAAACCAATCACTTCTAGGAGCCACGTGTCTGAGCAGGATAATTGCAATAAGGGGAAATAGTCACAAGCAAAGTGATCAATGACATTGGAGGCACAGTAATCTAACTGGAGAAATAGAATCACTGGTGGGAAGATATTTAAGAATCCTGCCAGCCAAGCACACAGGACAAGCAATATGCATACTCTCTTGCTCATGATGGTTGTATAATGCAGGGGTTTGCAGATGGCTACATAGCGGTCATAGGACATGGCAGTGAGGAGGTAAAATTCAGTTATACCCATGAAGATGAAGAAAAACAACTGAGCTGTACAATTATTGTATGAAATAGTTTTGTCTCTGGTGATAATTGTGCTCAGAAATCTAGGGATACAGACAGTTGTAAAGGTTATTTCTAATGCAGAGAAGTTCCTGAGGAAGAAATACATAGGGGTCTGTAGATGGGAGTCCACCAAGGTGAGAGTGATAATGGTCAAATTTCCAGTGACACTTAATATATATGTGATAATTAAGAAGAGAAAAATCACAGGCTGGAGCTCTGGGTCATCTGATAGTCCCAGAAGAATGAATTCTGTGGGTACTGTGTGATTTTTCATTGCAGATCCTTTTTCACCCTTCTTTAGATCAGAAATTGTATGTTTCCTCTGCAGAATCTAAAATTATTAAAACATAATTGAGGATGGGGTATAACACTTAAAATTTTTCTATAACATGGAATAATCTGTGAAATTTAGAAAGAAACATATGTTCCCCTTTAATAACCCTTTCCACCTTCCATTCTGTCTTTCATTGAGTAACAAATATCTGAAGTTAAATAAGAATCTTTCTTCATTGTAAATACACGATTGCAGATCATGGATAAACAATTCTGGTACTAACATTTTAAACAGACGCTCTTTCTTATATTTTTTCTTTAAAATGGTTTTCAAATATTTAAAAAGTATTTAGCCCTTTTATAAAGAATATAAAAACATTTTAATTGTTTTTTTTTCTTTTCTTGAATATAATTAAAACTAATCTGGACAGTAGCATAATGTAAATATAGTCTGAAAACTTACAGAGGTTATTTAGTCCTACCTTCAGATGTCATGTTTTAAAAAAGGCGGTCCCACATAGTTTAAGAAACTTCCCCAAGGTTAAACTACTACTCACCACAGTAATCATCTCATGTTAGAAAATTATGCTTATGTATGTGAATGTCGTATGGGCATTCTTTCCTAAATGATTTAAGTGTTTGGTTGATGCTTTTACCATCCCTGCCTCATTTCCCCCTTCCTTTTTTAGCATAAAGTTCTGAAGACCAAGAAAGGGAAACTTCAGTTGCCACAACATATTTTCACCTGAAACATTTTGATTAGGACAACGCACAATACAGGTTTTGGTTTTTCCCCCCACAATATTGCTATAGCAAATTAGCAAGTAGATGGTCAAAATAACATTTACTTAGAAGCAGATATTCTTTCAGACAGGGAATGACTTTTCAAATACTATTTCTATCACAAAATAACATTTAAACTTAGGAAAAAAACAAACAACCCATGACTTATTGCTGTTTAACTGCTTTGAGATTCCATTAATAGTCTTCTCAGTAGGAAACAATTATTTAATTTTCAATACTTCCAAACCCACAATCACATGTATAAATAATATTTTAAATGTTTAAATAAAATGGAATAACTTGTATTATATTAAAGAGTAACACATTTTTTACTTCCTGGCTTTTCTTGATAATTTACTCTGAAATTCTACTGTCTGGCTTTTTAAAATAGTCGTGCAATTTCAGAGCTGGAAAATTGACTTAGCAATTTATTTGATTTCCTTTGTACTCTCAAAACAACTGTGGTACTATTTTATGTCTCTCAGAAAGTGTAGTTTTCCTTGGTTTTAGACCAGTAATATTAGTTCCACAATATCCTTAATTATTGATACTGTAAAATTATTGAGATGTTCTATTATATTGTAATCAACTTCAGCTTTTCCTCTCTCACACAGGATACATGTACAAATACAGTTATATCTGGGCTGATTAATAAAGTACTCTTCCATAAATGCTTGAGAGGTTGTGGAGAAAAAGGAACTCTCATACATTGTTGGTGGGACTGCAAAATGGTGCAGCCTCTATGGAAAATGGTGTGGAGGTTCCTCAAACAATTGCAGATAGATCTACCATATGACCCAGCTATCCCACTGCTGGAAATATACCCAGAGGAATGGATATCATCAAGTCGAAGGTATACCTGCTCTCCAATGTTCATTGCAGCACTATTTACAATAGCTAAGACCAGCCCAAATGTCCATCATCAGATGAGTGGATACGAAAAATGTAGTATATCTACACAATGGAATACTACTCTGCTATAAAAAAGAATGAAATACTGCCACTTGCAACAACATGGATGGACCTAGACAGAATTATATTAAGTGAAATGAGTCTGGCACAGAAAGAGAAATATCACATGTTCTCACTTATTTGTGGGAGCTAAAAATAAATAAATACACAAATAAACTGGGTGGGGGAGGCAAGAAGACACAACAATCACAATTTCTTGAAGTTGTTATGACAAATGAACAGATATGAAGTCTCGGTAATGGGCCAAAATAATCAACCACATTGTATATTGATAAAACAAAATAAAATTAAAAATTAAAAAAATAAAATAAAATAAAAAATTTAAAAATAAAAAGTACTCTTCCGTTTTCCGTTTGCCATATGATAAAAAAACACTTTTAAGAACATTTTTATTTTCATTTACACAAAGATATTTGAAAGAATATTTTGCAACCTTATACAGTTGTCGGGTCCGCGGCCGGCCGACCCGAACAGCCCTTGCCTTGCTATCAGTCTCTCCCTTGGTGTTCCTTCTGGTGGGCGAGTGAATTGCCTGGATTCCTCTTTCCCTCCAGTCCCTGTTGGAAGAGATGGGGGAAGAGAGCCATGAAGAGAAGTGAGCACAGCCGCTGGCCCCACCAGCCTGTAAAAGGACACTCAGATGCGGCGGGGGTTCTATCGAACAGTTCCATTTATTATCACACAAGCACTTGTTTTTTTAAAGGCAAATGGGGAAGGGAGGTTTTTACATCCTCCAATCAGCTTAAAGGTTAGGAGAACATGCATTCTGTCTCAATGCCTAGCTATTGCAATCATGCAGTGTTCACAAGTGCGGAAGTGTGTATTTGGCCAATAAGGGCTAAGGCAAGGTTCCTACAGAAACTCTCACCCGCCTAGCTATTGCAATCATGCAGTGTTCACAAGTGCGGAAGTGTGTGCGGAAGTGTGTATTTGGCCAATAAGGGCTAAGGCAAGGTTCCTACAGAAACTCTCACCCTACTTCCTCCTGGCACCATCCTAGGCTGCCACATTAATTCACCCTGTGGGCCCATAATGGCACCGTTTGTAATGTCACTTAAGGTGGCATTAGTTTTTGAGGCCCGACAAGAATGACCAAATGGATTTGCAAAAAATAAAAAAATTAAAAATAAATAAATAAGTAAATAAATAAATAGATAGATAGATAAATAGACAAATACCCCTAACTATATGCTGCCTACATTAGACTTACTTCATCTGTAAGGAAATTCAAAAATTCATAGAAAGAGAGAAATAAAGTCATTATATAATTAGAAAGGAGACAACATAGCAAGAGTAGACAACAACTGTAGGTATATATGCCCATGGTATTGAAGCACCTAAATATATAAAGCAAATATTAATACATTCAAAATGAGTAATACACTGAAATACAATAATAGTAGGGAGCAGCACAATCCCACTTTAAGCAATGGTCAGATCATTCAGACAGAAAATCAATAAGGAAATATCAAACTTAAACTACATTCTAGACCAAATGAACCTAACAGATATACACAAAACATTCCGTCCAATAGCTGTAGAGTACCCATTCTCAACTACACATGGAGTACTCTCCAGGATAAATTATATGTTAAGCCACAAAACAAGTCTAAACAAGTTTAAGAACAAGAAAATCATACTTAGTATCTTTACTGATCACAGCTAGAAATCAGTAACAGGAGGAAGTTTGAAAAATATACAAATACATGAAAATTAAACAACATGCTTCTGAACAACCAATGGGTCAATGAAAATATTAAATGTAAAATTAAAAAATTTCTTGAGGAAAACAAAAATGGAAACACAACATAGAATAACCTGTGGAATACCCCAAAAGTAGTCCTTAGAGGGAATTTTGTAGCAATCAGCATGCAGTTGTATCAAAAAAAGAAAGAACTCAAAGAAACAACTTAACATTGAGCATCAAGGAACTAGAAAAGCAAGAACAAACTAAGCCCAAAGTTGTCACAAGAAGAAAATAATGAGGATCAGAGCAGAGAGAAATGAGACGAGAAAAACAATAGAAAAGAAAAACAAAATGAAGAGTTTGTTTGTTAAAAATGTAAAATAGATAAACTTTAGCTAGACTAGGAAAAAATAGATACTAAAATAAATTAAATCCGAAATTAAAAGGAGACATTACAACCAATACAACAGAAATACAAAGATCATAAGAGATTATTATAAAAAATTATATGTCAACAAATTGGATAACCTAAAATAAATGCATAAATTACTTATTACAGACAACCCATCAAGATGGAATTATAAATAAATAGAAATATTTGAGTATACCAATAATGAGGAAGGAAAATAAATCAGTAATAAAAAGTCTTCAAAGAAAAGCCCAGTATCTGAATGGGTCTTACAGCTGAATTCTATCAAGAATTTAAAGAAAAAAATTTTATAAATTCTTCTGAAACTTTTCCAAAAAACTGAAGATGAAAGAATACTTCCAAACTCATCTTATTTGGCCAGAATGCCAAATTCAGGCAAGGACAACTGAAGAAAAGAAAAGCTACAGGCCAGTATCCCTAATGAACATAGTTGAAAAATCCTCTGCAAAATACTAGCAAACCAAATTCAGCCAGCACATTAACAATATCATTCATTATGATCAAGTGGGGTTTATCCTAAGGATGTAAGGATGATTCAATGTACATAAATCAATAAATGCAATACATCAAATTAACAGTATAAAGGACAAAATCTATATGATCATTTTAATATATGCAGAAAAATAATTTGATGAAATTCAACATCCCTTTATACTAAAAACTCTCAACAAATTATGTACAGTGGAATGTATCTCAACACAATAAAGGCTATAGATGACAAACCCACAGTTAACACCACACTCAATGTGTAAACATTGAAATCTAATCCTCTAAGTTCAGGAACATGATAAGTATGCACATTCTCACCACTTCTTTCAACATAGCACTGGAAGTCTCAGTGAGAACATTTAGGCAATAAAAATAAATAAGAAGAATCTGAATTGTAAAGGAAGAAGTTAAATTGTCCCCATTTGAAGATGACAAGATTTTATATATATTTAAAATATATATATAATGTAAAATATATTTATATATAAAAAACCCTAAAGAGTACACCAAAAATCTGAGAGAACTTATAAACAATTTTGATAAATTTGCAGGATTCAAAATCAATACACAAAAATTTGTAGTATATTTTGCACTAACAAGAAACATTCTGAAAAAAAATCATACATTCCACTCACAATAA